TGTTCAAACAATGAAGGAAAAAAACACTTTATATACAGTATATAACAAACAGGTAATAGTCAAAAAATTAATATGAAATTTTTTAAAAATAATATTTCTTTTTACCTAATGATTCCTATGTTGTTTAAATATATTTTTTTTAACTTAATTTGTTTTGCTTTTTCTTGCTAGTCGACTTACTTTTTTTTCCTGATTTATGCTGGTGATTTGGCATTTAATTTCTAACATAAATTTTTCCCATGATAAAGACATTACAACCTTGAAAACTATAACAAAACTGTAGAAATAAAATCATTTTATTTATAGAAATTGATGATTCAAAATAGTTTGTGAAATAAATAATGTATTCTGTAACTTTTACATAAACACATAAATAGTCATTCAACAACATTAATGGAAATAAATATAACCAAGGAAGTTGTTTGCCCAAACCCAGCTTAATTAGCAAACCCATATATAACTGTCATCTTATAAATTACAGACATTCCTTTAAAAAAAATATAATTACATACAGTAAGCACTCATTCAAGTCCTTCAGAAATACAATGAATAGTAGGAAATTATCTAAGTTTCGTGGAATGATCTATTTAGAGGTGAGACTAGTAATGTACAGAGGGGTGTGCTGCTATTTGTAAAGAACCTTAGAGTGTCTACTGTTGATAAATATCCTAGGTTTTTTAGTGTACTGTGCGGGCGTAGTGCATGGATGAGAGAAGCTTTATGCACAACTTCTTTAAAAGTAATTAGAAATCCCTTAAGTCCACAAAGATGTTCAAAATAACTTACTCTAAAACAGAATTGGGTCACAGTCAAGTCTCTGTCATTAAACAATGTAGCCACCATAACAGTCAAGAATCAACTGTTAGTTAAATAATCAAAAGTCCCCTATACCCCAATTTACATGATGCCACTAACATATGTGGAGTGAAAAAAAGCTGAAATGAGAATTGCTGAAGGCGAGTGGCATGAAGACCTGTTTGAAATTTAGAGTGACCTGTACCCAGGTTTTGTTACAAGCCAGACTGTAAAAAACAGTTGAGGTGTCCTAATCATCAAAAGGACATACAATACAAGTCAGTCAGTTCTTGAAAAAGGGATAAGTGGTGCAGAGTAAAACGGAGCATTCTACATCACTGAAAGACTTCCGGATATTTGTGAAAAGTGGTACTGGTACCTTAAATTTGTGTGTGTAGTAGTGGTGGTTGCCTGCATGTGGCAGTTATGGTACCATACATCTAAGTGTAGTATTAATGGCACTCAAAACCTAAAAAAGGAGTAGCAGAACCCTTGACTGTGTGTGGCATTGGTGGTACAAGAGACTAGATGTCCATTGTCTATGTTGATAATGTGAATTTATCAGTTCATTGTAGCTTTTGGAAGTAAACATACAAATCATTATACTGAAAGTCTTTTTGTTAATTTTTAAAAAATTTAATTCAAGTTCATGACAATAATAATTGGCTCAAAATTACACAAATGAATTTTCCTCATACATACAGAAAAGCTTGAAACTACAGTTCTGCATGCTCAAGATACAGATTTTTTTTTTAATCAAAATAAGTTACAATGAGTTTTATTTAAATATTACAAACAAATATAATATTGTTGTTACTCTGTTAGGTGCACTGCTACCCCACACAATTTAAGTGCTTGGCTTCCGAAACTGGGTAAAAACTGGGATTTCAAATTTTTGGATTTTAAGGCCGCCCCTGATTCCACCCAACTCTAATGGGCTCCTGACTTTAGCTGGGAAAAGTAAAGGCGGATGGTCATTGTGCGGGCCACATGACATCCTGCTTGTTAACCATTGGTCAAAGAAACAGATGATCTTAACATCATCTGCCCTATAGATTGTAAGGTCTGAAAGGAAAACTTAATTATTGCATGGGGGGGGGGGGGGGGGGGGGGGGGCGCCAAGACAGGAATGTTTGAGAGATACAGAGGAAAATGAGAGAATTTGATTTTCTTTAACAAGAGGAATGAGGGGTCCTTTACCTGACTGATTACTTTAAAGGCTGTTAACCTGACACAACATTGGGAAGTGTGTTGTTGGTTTGTAAAGCAGGAGTTTCTGAGATGTGTACCGGAAGGAGGGACAAGTGAATCCTAAAGCTAGACTCTGTGTGATAGAAGTGAACCCAAGAGTTGATAACCGTTGTTTGTGTTTGTTAATGCCAATCATACATAATCCATCTATATATATAATTCTCTTCTTCCCATATCAGGTCAGACAAGAAGTAAAGTGAAGATCACTCTCTTATTTCTGCGGATAGTCACCCCACGAAAAAAAAAAACAAGAGGGGGGGGGGAGGGGCAGGGAACATGTTTTCACAGCTCGCTACGGATGGCTGCGCGCTGGACTGTCAAACCCTGCCCGCCCCCATCCCATGCGGGAGGTTTGGAATAGGAAGTAAACTATCGTCAACTCTGAAGGAACATCTGAAACATGTAAAACATTTTACAAACACTAAATAGCAGGGCCGGACTTAAGCATTGTGGGGCCCTATTCAAAACGGATTTCTCTGGGCCAAGTTTGGATAGGGAAGCGGACAATAAGTCAAATTTAAGAGTTTGTATTAGAAAATAAATTTATTTATTCTTTTCTACGTACAGAATTACTTTACGAGCCTTGCGTGTAGCAGAGTCATACAGTATATCATAATAATTCTGTTTCCCACATAGATCCCGCTCAATAGCGAGAATTACCAAATGTTTCAATCTATCTTTGAGAATTGTTGACATCAAGTAATTCTTCATTAGTTTGAGGTGCGAGAAGTTCTTTCACCTGATTACACAATTACGGTTAATGCATAATGCCTTTTTTATTAATAGCGCGTAGGATTCACATTTTCCATATTGAATGACACCCCAAAATGACAATTTTTTCTATGTATTTCCGTATATTTTAAGGACTTTTTGTATATTTTGCAATTTCTGGAGATTTCCAGGAGCTCCTGGTAAATCTGTTTTAAGTTATAAAATGGTTTAATTTAATAATTTATACACCTTGAAGTGCGGATTCTTCGGTCACATAGGTTGCAGTGGCCTAAGACCGGCCCTGCAAAATAGTAGCGTATGCTATGCCGCCGGTCGAGTAGTAGTAAATTAACATTAAGCTCAACTTATATTGTTTTATTTGAGTAGCATCTCTTAAGTTGGGAAGTGTGTTGTTGGTTTGTAAAGCATGGGTTTCTGAGATGTGTACCGGAAGGAGGGACAAGTGAATCCTAAAGCTAGACTCTGTGTGATAGAAGTGAACCCAAGAGTTGATAACCAATGTTTGTATTTGTTAATGCCAATCATACATAATCCATAGTAAATAAGCATCAAGCTCAACTTATTTCCTTTTTTTTGAGTAGCATCTATAAGTTTACAGCAAATATCCCCTTTCAGACCTTGCAATCACATGTAAAGCAATTTTTTAAAATTTCTTTTTTTAATAATCAAAGCTTGAAAATTGCATGGAAAATTGTTGCTGATGTTGTCCCAAAGAGTTAAGTTTGCATGTAAGCTGTGTCACTGACATTGGTGCACCTGAAGCTAGTTCAGTAGATCAAACATGATTTTTCTGTCAACTGTAAGACATTTAGAATGTTTTAACCATCATCTTCGTGTGTTCATTTCTGTGGAAATAAAAAAAAAGGTGACAACTGAAATTGCAGATAGGATTCAAGAATCTCATGTGTCTCATGTAGGAGGTACACAAGTGTTCAAGTAATAAAAATACCTTCATTAGAACCAAAGTTTAAAAAAGGAAATGACACCAGTAACTAGCCAAATTATTATTTAACTTTTCTTTTTAAAATCACTTGCCCATCTATAGAGGATTTTATTATTTTTAGAAGCCTGGAATGACCCTAGCCCTGCCTAAGGATGAGGTTAAGTCTTGCAAAAAAGATAATATTAAATTAAAATTAATTAAATTTAGATTCTAAAAATATCGAAATAAAGATCTAGTTGTACGGATTTATGTAATGTCCAGAATAAATAAATTACTCTAGATCTAATTACTGATCCATTCTTCTTCTTCTTCTAGCCAGCTTTTTGCTGCTGAGGTGTCAGCTCTTTTGTAGATTGTGCCAAGGAAAAATAGTGATACATAAAATAGAGCAGTGAGATTCATAACAAATGAATATTCACATTTAATAAACGCCTTTAATAAAATCACTAAATTTAGAAAGACTTCAGGATAGAAGACTTAGTAAAGTTGCAATTATACATAAAACACTGAACCATAATCTTCAAATTTTATACAAAAACAAAATTTAATAAAATAGTCAGAAAGACACAAAGTTTAGGCACATTCCTCGTTCCATATTTATGCTAGGATAAATTTGTACACAAATGCTCTTTTTTCCCTAGCGCTATTAAAGCATGGAATGGGTTGCCTGAGCTAGCCAGGAAAACCAGTGACTTGGCAGAATTTAGGTCATTGGTTAAAATGCATGACGCATCTTCTTTTTTTTAAAGTAACGTCTGTATCATATTTAAGATAAGATTTAAAAAAAAAAGCTTTAAACTTACCTGTTAACTCTTAAGAAGTTAGAAGAGTCTCGGACGTCTTAGTAGAGTTCAAGTTCTAGAGGCAGAGGTAATGGTAACATCAATATTTTGTAACTTTCTCTTCTTATCATTTTAACTTTAGTCTTATGATGGGAGGGTAAAGATGAAGGCATTGAAGCAAAATGTTGTAGATCTAGTACTTGCAGTGTAACTTTAGTAAGACATGATTACGATCATCAACAAATTTCATCATCACATCAGACATCATCATTATCATGACATGATAATGATTGGAGAATTCAGAGATCATCATGATCATGATGATTCCAGTCCAGTGAATCAGTGTGTGAACTGTGTATCCTCCTGGTCTTGAAGTTTAGTTGAAGTGTGAAGCCATCTTTAACCCCTAACTAGTAACTAGAGAGTCTAGTCCTGGTGTAAAGGTTAAAAGACTACTAAAGTGTAAGTAACTCACTAAAACTGTAACTCAGTTCAGTAGTAAGTTAAGTAAGTAGTAGACTAGTAAGTAGTAGTATACTAGAAGAACTACAAGTGTACAAGTCTAGACTAGATCTAATTTTGTAGAATAAGGCCTAGATCTATCATTAGTATATCTAGAACTCTAGTAGATATATATCTTAGACCTAGATCTATTCTAGAGTTTAGATCTAGATAGAATACTGAATCTAGAATCTAGTATCATTATCTATCATACAGTTAATAACTGACTACTCTGAGGGACGGCTGACTGCTTGAACTGCAATGTACGATACAAATTAAATACTGCGACCGACTGCTGCTAGTTTATCAGTCGAATATTACACAGTAGCTTTCTAATCGATACGAAAACGTTTACAAACCTGAATTTAGTGACGATTTATTTCAAAACTCCTTTGAAAACAGATTTAAATCTTCTATAAAGTTATTAAGGGAAAATATAGACGCCATCTTGAATACTTTGAAGGACGCTTCAACTGTAAGGGCTATCTAGGCAAGGCGTTGCAAAATAAGAAAAAAAAAAGAAGGGCATTAACAGCTGTTATTTTTTCTCAGCAAAAATTATTTCCCTTTAATTTCTTGTAGATAAAAAAAACAACAAAAAAACTGGCTATAGATTAGAGATCTAATTACCAAGTAATTTATGTCTAATAATTAAATCTATGAAGATTTAATCATAATTTCTCAAATTGCCAGTTGATCTTCACAAGGTGACATAGATCTAGTATAAAAATTATTCTTTTACAGCATTTTGACTGTCTCTTAATAAACCCTTGAGCATGCTATCTATAGACTGATTTTAGTGTTAAGCTATTTGTATTTATTATTTCTCATCCATTTCCATGTAAAAATACATAAATAAGGGTTTCCCTTAGTAAAGCAGCTAGTCATTCCAACTGCACTCCGCTGCCATTTTTTAGCCTTGGAAGTCATTCTTCTTCAACGGACTTACCATTGAACTTTTATTAATAAATTATCATTAAAATAACTGATTTTCTAGATATTGAATGGAACTCATGCAAATAATAATACTTCTAATTTTATATTGAGTTTTTCTATCAGATAACATAACTCATAAATATAAAACATTTAATAAATTGAGTTTCCTTTGAAATATATGTCTGTTAGCTTTACAGTTTATAACATTAGTGAACTTTTTTAAAAATTATCATTCTTAATATAATATCTACTTAGAACCATTCATAAAATTGAATCTTTAAGATGTTAGATTTAATTAGATGAAATAATTCATCCAGAACATTGGTTCTTTTCATTTTTGTAGGCATGTATCCAAAAGTCGACCTTTTAAAATTTCTGTACCAATATAGATAAAAGAAATAATTTCTTGATAGGTCTTATTTGTGTAAAAACGTTTGCCTGCTAAAAATCTTTATACATTACCAGCATGAAGTGCTTTGTTATTTTTTTTTTTAAAAGACTGCTTTGTATTTTTTTTTTTAAAAGACATTTCTGTAAGAAATGAATATTGTTATAATCTTACCCTTTATAAACATGAAATAGGTAAATTGTATAAAATCATTGGTTTAAGAAAAAAAAAATGACAACTTTTGTTTGACTTTTTAATCCTTTGTTAACTATCTTTTGGGCTGAAAAAAACAAACAAACCCAGACTGATGATATTCAGATTGTTCACTGGCATGAGTGTAATAAAAGTTTGTTTTTTTGCCTAAACCAGAAATAAATAGTTAGAGAAAAACTTTTTTTTCCAGAGATTTTTTACCTCAATAAGGACCTTCAGTGCATTTATAGTTCAATGATTATAATCTTGTGAGTTACTGTTTAATTTGCTTTGAATCAATCTCTTCATAAGTCACTGCATCACAACTACCGGGGTACATGTATTTATTTAAAAAAAAAAATGAAAACACAATTAGAAACAAAACAAAGCGATTTGTATAAATCATTTTTTTTTATAAATCATACATCATAGAAAATGTTACTCAAAATTTAAATTCTAAAAGTAAACTCAGATCTGATGACAAATACAACTTTCACATTTTCATGCAGACAAAACTTAAACCACATATACTGAAGAAAGTACACAAAACAATCAAACAAAAACTTTTCATTTAACATAACAAGAGCAAGAACTTAAGACAAATCAAATAGCATCAAGGCAAGACAAAGATGATGACAATAAACAATAAGAATAAATGACTGAGAAAATATTTACTGGAAATCTAAAGAAAGCTTACGTTCAAAAAGCATATACTTAAAAAAAAAGATTCAACAAAATACAAAAAATTATCGAAGTACAATATAAATGTATTTAATCATATGCTCTCATTCAGTGCAATGATTACCACCCTGTGGAGAAGTTTCATGACAACATATACATGTACAGTACATAGTAAATGCTAATTAAAGCTCAGCTTTTTGAAATATTTGATAAGGCTACAAATAAATGCTTTGAATAATTCAGTAATTCAAATATATGCTTGTATAAATGTAACTCAGCTTAACATTAATTTATAAAATGTTAGTAAATTTTGTTTTCATCATGGATTCTCCATTTGAAAATGGTCTATATTTTAAAAAAAAAAGGTACAGATAAATATTGGTATAAATAAAAAAAAAACTACAATGCATTTTTTTTTCCCATTTAAAAAGATCCTTTACAGGCAAATTTGAATAACCATCATTATTTTGAAGCTATATGAAAAAAATGCATTGACAATTGATATACTGTCCTTTTTCTAAAGTGCTCTTACTTAAGCTTGGTCCTTTTCAGTACATATATGATGCTTCATGAGTCTAGTGAACAAGAGATCAATGGTTATACCAGGTACAGGCATTGGGTTGACAAAAGGATTGACTATTTTCTAACTCATTTATCAAGTAAACTGGTTCGACTCTGCTAAGCCACAAATGCCCATTTGGATGTGAACACATAACTATGGGTTTAATAGCCAAGTGCACTACTACAGCTAAGACATCCTATTCATACACTGTTGAGTCTCACACCTGCAATACAGATTATTGCATCTTCTTGGAGATCTGAACTATATTTATGCACTACAGATTTCAACTCTTGACCTATTGGAGAGGGAGGGGGAAGCAGTTGTAAAGAAACAAAATGGACACAAATATTTCTATTTAAGTAACATAACAAGTTTTTTTCTCAGCATTTATATATATATATATATACCATTTTCAGTAAGCTTAAACTAAGAAATACAAAGAGAAACAGTTGTACGGGTGTCATCTTTAGTACCAACACGTACAACAAAATATCAGTCACTAATTTCAGTTTAGATGAGCAATGTGATAAATGGTCTATTTGTGACACACACAATGATCATAAAGCAGCAAATTCAGAAACTGCAGATTTACCGCCTTCATAAAACAAAACATGATTATGTTTGGGACAAGATGCAACAAATAAGTGATCTTGTTCAATAAACTCCATTTCACATATTTGGCAAAAAGTAAGCACAAAAGCACAAAGTGTATAGTGAAACAATGCCACAACAACATGTAATTTCCTTAAGATTTGATATCATTCTTACAGGAACACAACCATACTAAAAAAAAGTAGAAATAGAAAAAAAACAACTCACTTCTTGCCAAAGAAAAATAAAGGCAGAGCATATGAATTTAGTGGAAATGCAATTTGCAAAAATATCATTAAGAAAAATCCAAATAAATGTCAACTATCAAATAGTTGCTTTTTTTTTTTTTAAATTAAAAAAAAAAATATTTAAAGGTTAAGTTACTGTCTTTTAACTAAATGTTACAGTAAATAAATAAATAGGCCTACACATAGATGAACAGTCAATGTCAATTTTATAATACAAAATAGTATATAAAGATACAGTTAAACAATACAATACTTAGAAAAAAACAACTTTGCCATTAACAACTTTGTAAAAAAAATGTAATGAAACATACATACATATATATGTTGCTAAATAGGTTCAACTAAATTCTTTATATGTTTGATTTATAAAACTATAAACCAAAAAAAAACAAAAAATAACTAAAAAAAAAAATAACAACCTGAAAGGTCAACACTAAATCTGGTCCCATGATCAGATTTGTGCAGCCTGATATGACACACTACAGTATATGTAGCTACACTACAAAATATGAAGGGTCAAAGATGAAGTTGCTAGACTTGTCATAATAAAAAATTAAAACTATCTATAAACATCTACACTCAAAATATTTGGACATCTTCATTATCATTTTCCTTTTAGTATTGTGAGTACTTTTGAATACACAGAAGCAGTAAATTGTTCTAGTTGTAAAAAAAAAAATTACATTTTTTTCATTAACAATAAGGCTTCATCAATGCAGATATACAATTACTTAAATGTTATTTGTTTTGTTTAATTTACAAAAGTGATTAAAAAAAGTTTTCCCCATGACTGTGTAGATCTAATAAGTCTAGACACTGAAACTAACTGCAATTTGCATATGCCCAAATCAATTTGTTGAAAATACTTTCAAAACAACATTCTTTATGAAGGTAATTATGAGCATCATCTTAATATATTTACATACATACAAAAGAGTGAAGAATATTTAAATACCATCATGTATATTGAAAGTAAAATGATTTTGTAAATATCATGAGAAAATTAAACAAAAGACACAAAAACTACACCAATGTAACAACATAGTTTTAAGTTGCTTGTTACTTGTTTCTCTAGTTCAAACACAACAGAATTCAATGGAATATTTTGAGAAAATGCACATACACAAATTTTTTTTTTTGCTTCTGAAAATAACCATTATTATTTTAGCCTTTCTAATAGTAGTCTGAGATAACATTCTTAGACAAAGAATTTTAAATAAGCCAAATATATTTTGACTGATTAAATGATGGACTGAATCTGTTAAATAGTATTTCTGACAAAAGTTTTTTTTTTTTTTAAATTTAAATGTTTTTAGCTTGTTATTATGGTACTGCATTCAATATTGAGTCAAATAACACCTTGTAATGCTGAAGTCTAGTCAATATTTTTGTTAAAAGAAGACCTGCCAATGTCTACACAATATCTATGATATGCTAATAATAAACTGCCATAATGCTTGAGATTTTAAACACTATTGTGCAGTGATTCCCAACTCATGAGTTTGACAACATGTATGATCGCTAAGATTTTCCGTGCATTTATTTAAAAGTATTGACTAATGCTTTAGGGTGGGGAATCACTGTAATTGTATGACAAGTTAAAAAAAAAGTTTGCAACATGAATAATTAGAAAACACTTCTTTAGAATGAAATCAAAATGGAA